CGTAACCAACAGCCTCATCTAATGATGGAGGAAACTGACCCTCAGAAGGTGAACCCACTTGCCCAAGGTTGCTCTGTTAATTAAGAGGACAGATAAGACTCTGGCCCAGGTCTTCTCATTTCAATTCCACTGCTTCTGTGTTACATGAGAGAGTGAGTTTACGGATATGTAACTACATTAAGTGAATTTGAAATTCCAGCTGGAGAGCACTGATTGCTATGTTAGCTTTTCAAAAAACTTTTAAGTGACTAAAAGCTTCTTTCTCCTTTAGTCTGAAGTTTCTACTGATGTAAAGAAGCGAGGTTTCCTTACAGCCTAGAGCCACCATCCCTTAGAGGTCCCACCAACAGCTTCAGAGTGAGTCTCTCTTTTTTTAAACTGGTGCTAGACTTAAGTTTTTGGTTTCATATGACTTTTTAAATGATTCAAGTGTTTGACATTCACTAGGAAAACTCAAGTAATACAGACAAGCAGAGGGTAAAAAGTCAAACTATCCTGCTCCCTTCCCCTAAGACCCATGCCACAGACACTCACTCATTACAGTTGGTGGATATAAGCCAGCTTTTCCTCCTTTAATGTAATTACAACGCCAAATGCTTGGCTTTGGGGTGGAGGGAGGGAGCGAACCGCCCTTTTATAGCTCCTTGGGTTCTAACTACTACAAAGGAATAAATTAGGGATGTGACAATCACCCAGAGACAAAACCCTTAGGCTGCCATGTGCTGTAAAGGGACCCTCCTGTGTGTGTGCCTCCCTGCCTCCCCCCCACCCCCGCCCCCGGCTTGCTATGTCACATTCTCAGGCTGATTTGATCTCCGGTGGCTGGCTTGAGTGGATGTCCCTTAAGACATGATTTTCAAGCTGTTCTAGAATCAGAGGTTCTGCAAAAGTTTGTTTGAATTTTCACCAAAAAAAGCCCCCTGCTATTAAATATATCCAAATGTATTATATTCCATATTTCGACACACTGTTAACTTGTCACGTTAATTCCCTCTCGGCTTGGGCACCTCAGAAAGAAGTTTCTTTCATTCCTATGCACCCACGTAGCCTTTGAACTTATGTCGTTGATGAGGAAAACTGTACCGCTGTGGTCTTTTAAAAAGTACAGGCCTACTTATTTCTGTTTAAATAACATGGTACAAGAAGGTACATTATTTATGAGAATGAAGCAGAATATTTTAAAATTTGGATCCTGAGGCTAATAGTGTAGACTGGGAGCCTGAGTTCTGAAGCTGGGCAAGCTTGGGTTTGAACAGCTTCCAGTGTGACCTTGAGCAAGTCACTTAACCTCTCTGAGCCTCAGTTTTCTCATCTGTAAAATGGTGATAACATTATAAAAGACATCTATATTCTTAAAAGTCCTTTGGTTGTTTCAGTCACTGGGAAGATCTTTTCGGCTATCTTTCTAATATTATCTAATAATTTTAATTTCTAATCTCTTTCCAATTATCCTACTCAGGATCCCAGCCTTCTGCCCCATTTTATCAAGTCTTTCCTCCTCTTCTTTTAGGCAGCCCTAACCCCTGAAGTCGTGTCCATTTCTTATGAAGACCAGCTCGGCTCTCTGCCTCACTACATGAAGCCATAGTATTGTCCCTTAGGTCTAGAATGTTATTAAGGTGCTTCATTAGACAGAGTCCCTGTCCAGCACTGCCATCAGCACAGCACCTGGCAGAAGCTCTTAACTTTCCTGAACCTGATCGCTTTCTCAGGCAAGGCGTTCACTCACTGGCGTCTGTGAGCAGGAGGGAGGAGCGTGGGGATTTCTCATCTTCTGATATGAACGCTGCTGTCTCTGTTAGGAGGCGGAACTGCCTGATAGGTTGCTTTTTCATAGGTGATGTTAAACATGTGAACTTACAGGGCCAGCCTGGTGGCCTAGCGATTAATGTACTCAGCTTCGGGAGCCTGGGGTTTGCTGGTTCTGATCCCGGGTGTAGATGTACACACTGATCATCAAGCCACCCTGTGGCAGCATCCCACATACAAAATAGAGGAAGACGCACAGATGTTAGCTCAGGGACAATCTTCCTCAGGCAAAAAAGGAAGATTGGCAACAGATGTTAGCTCAGGGCCAATCTTCCTCACCAAAAAAAAAAACAAAACAAAACATGAACTTATAAATTTATCCTAATAAAGAGTTGCTCTTCACTGCTTGTCCCATGGTGGAATTCACTAGAAATACTGGGCTCTGTCAATAAAAGCATTTGATAGCCACTGACTTGGGACTTTCCTAAGTCAGAATGCAGTTTCTTTTGTTTTCTCTTATTTTCCTTTTTAACCACTAAGATGCCTTCTCTCTCTTTAGTATTTATTTTATTAACCCTTTTGTTTTCTCTCACACTGAAATCAGCCAGAATGCTCACACCCTGACACCTGGGGCACCTCTCATCTAATTTCTCTCAGTCACGGCAGACTTCTACTTTCTCTTCCCTAGTTCACGCTTTCACAGGCTGCATCTGCCGATTTCATAATTATCACTGACAACTAACTGTTTTGGATGCAGGGAGAAATAATTTTCTAAAGGTCACGGCATCCTTTAGAACAGTCACCTGATCAGAAATTCAACTGAGTGATATCAGAGGCACACACTATTGATTTAACTAAAACAACAACTTAGATTCTCGATATTTTCCCTCAAAATGAACACAACCTTATCAACTGCTTTGGAAGAATATATTAATATTTTAATTATAAATACAAAACATATATAAAGAAATCCCTAAATTCTAGAACTATTTCCTCTAAGCTAACATGAAAAACTGAGCTTCATATAACGATAATAGTTAAGTTCTCAAAAAAAATTAATGGCATTTTAACAACCTACATGATCGTCAGGATGTAGCCGTAATCAGAATATTAATTGAAGGGGGCCGGCCCTGTGGCTGAGTGGTTAAGTTCGTGAGCTCTGCTTGGGCGGCCCAGGGTTTCGCAGGTTCGAATCCTGGGTGCGGACATGGCACCGCTCATCAGGCCACGATGAGGCAGCATCCCACACGCCACAACTAGAAGGACCTGCAACTAAAATATATGCAACTATGTACTGGGGGGCTTTGGGGAGAAAAAGGAAAAGTAAAATCTTTAAAAAAAAAAAAGAATATTAACTGAAAAATTGCGTAACTGGAAGAGTTGTCAAAAAATGCAGATTTTCCTCTTCGGAAGTAAACGTATAGAAAAAAAGAATCTTTCTTCAAAACTTCACAAACGAAGAAAACTGGCAGCAGAATGCAGACTCCCTAGGGCAGGGTTCTGTTAGCCCCACGCTCGGCTGCCTCCCGTGTCTAGAAGAGGGCCTGCGCAGAGTAGATGCCCAAGAAATCCACGGTGAATGATGATTCTAACAATAAAGTTTGATGAGAAATTTAAGAAAGTAGAAGTGCCCCCGAGAGGCAAGGGATCAAATGGAGACCAAAAAGCTAGATAAAATTTTGCATCTTAAATTGACCCTGAAATTAAATGACTGAACCTAATTTTTGTTTTTAATTTACAACTGGTTATTGTTGGTTTAAGACATAGCCAAAGACTGCAGTTGAGGAACACCAAGTATTTGGATATATTTTCATATATAAAATGTAATATACTCATCGAATATTGCACCAGTCTACAGACCACAACTTTCTCATCCTTGCTTCTGATCCTTGGTATCTATTATTTTCTAACACTCCTTTCGTTGCGAGTAACAGAAAGCAAACTCTCATAACTTACCCAGAAAGCAGGAGGGGTGAAGATTTATTGGAAGGATTCTGGGGTGGCTGACGGGCTTGAAGAACAACCAGCTCGGGGGCCTCGGGGCCTGGAAGGAAGGGCTGGGCCATCAGGACTCTGCCTCTTTCTGAATGTCTCATTGATTCTCTCAAATTTTTTCCATAAAGTTGGAATGAAGTTTGCCAGCATCAGTAGGATTCCTCCTATCTTTCTCTCCTGAAAGGAGATCCAGTTAGGAAGATCCCAGGGAGGGACGAAAATTGGTTCGGCTTGGGTGACACTCCTGTCACGTGGACCCATCTCTGTGGCCAGGGAGGGAGGGTGGGTCATATGGGAATTTGGCAGCTCTCCTTTCAAAAACGTTAGCAGGATGCAGAGGGCAGAACAGCTCCCCAAAAGAGTGGTGGGCGCCATCAGGAGAGAATGTGTATTGTTTATAGTGAAAATTAAAGCTCTTGTTTGAAACCTTCAGAGAGAGACTGCCTTCTGTGGGTTGGCCCTCCAAGGGTTTCACTCTCAAATTCTGGGTTCACAATAGTGTTACTTAAGGATTCTTGTTGTCCAGGGACCAGTTAAATGAATTATTAAGTATTCAGTCAACATCTGCATTATTACAATGAGTTAACAATACTTTCATCTGAATTAAAATATTAGTATCTTTCTTTAGAAGATCAAAACACTTTAAAGTGTTTAGAGATCACAAGCTAATAAAGTTAGAATAGCCTGATGGACCAATGAATAAAATTTCCTCCATTTACCAGTTGGAAACTAAAGCAAGATGTCTTATCTAGGGTCTCAGCTGGTGAGGAACTGGCTTAGCTTCCAGGCTAGTATGTTTTACATTAAAAACCAGTGTCTCGACAAATAAGTGCAGCCCACAGACCACTGTTTGATATTTGGCTTTACTTTATAAAAATACACAACTTAAATACATATGACACTCTCTATACAAGACATAAACAATTGTTAGATTTAACATTTTCAGTTATTTCAACAGAAAGCAAATATGTAAATTACCTCGTAAGAGCAAAGGGTTTCTTTAGAGACTCTGCATTCACAGGCCGAGCGGAGACGCCCCGAGAGCAACCAGTGCAGGAAGCTAACCCAAACTGCCCAACTTTCCAACAGGCCGTTTCACCAACAGGGCCTTTATTGCACAGCTTAATATTGCACTGCTTGTTAGACTCAATCTAACTTATTCACACCACAAGTTTAAGCTTTCATCTTCTCTAGAAACGTTTAAGGGAAAAACCAATGTACAAACAGAATTAACTATGTCTTACAATTGTGCTAAGTGTCCATCGTGAGAAGTCTGATCCTCTCTTTCCTTTGCAAAACTCACAATGGAAGGTGGTTAGCTACGTTTTGCAGCTAAATTCATTTCCAAAACTTTTATAAAGACGTTGGCAGACTCGGTGTGAGCTAGATGGTGAGTGGAGAAGGGAGTGCCGTTCCAGCGCCTCCTGAAATTACCTGTAAGAAGACAATGTGCACACGGCTCCAGCCTTTCTCCCTTGAGACGGAAATACCTCCTCCCCCTCCAGCCTGTCATTGCTCTGTAGGAGCAGCTACTTCGTTACTGATTCAGAGCCCACGGGGCTGCTCATCGACTCGGGCTTTTCTTCAGAAATTTAGCTGCCTTATCTATGGCTCATTGAACTAAGAGTGAATTAGGTACCAGTTTATGGGTATAAAGAAATATTCGCCAGTTGAGAATTGAATGCGTGAGAACACACTCGAGTAATTTCCTGAGGTAAATGGAAGCCTGAAAGAATAGTGTGCAATCTATAGAATTACAGCAATTTATCTCGGGCAGCAGCACAAGACCCCCAAGTCTGGACGTCTAAGTGAACAGGCCAACAAAACCAAAGACATATTTAAGTGAAGAAATAAAATGAGCGTGCTGAAGTAAAGGAACTCTCGACAGTGGAGAACATCAAGTGAAAAGGAGGCACAAAAGGGAACAGAGGAACAAGACGAGGGTGTATTTTAAAGTGCTAAGGTAGGTTGGACAATTAATGGAAATGCCTCCGGGGATTTCTAACAAGTTTAAAAGTGTTAATTCTTGGTGACTCAGAAGTGGAAAAAATGGCTTTTCTCTAATAATAGCTGTTGAAACTTTTTACTCTTTTTTGAAAAACAAGATCCTCTACAAATTTCTTTAAGCCATCGAAATTATTCTGCTGGTTGTCACTCTCACTGAGGTATGCTGAAATCCTAACAGGCTGAAGGATTTTAATAAGGTTGAACCGCAAAGTACATCCTTGCACCAAGAGCTTAAATTAATGCACCAAGGTCGGCAAAGTTTTGTATGAAGTTAGTACCAAAAAACCTTTTCAGTGCAGATCATGCTTCATCACCTCTTGACATTCTACTCACGGATTACGGAAACCAGAAAAATTCTAGGACCCTGAAGATGAACGTTCGTCTCTTCTTTCTTTTACATAAATGAAGCAGTACATGGCCATCCTTAACGTTCATAATGAAGGTGCAGGGAACTGAGTCCCAAGACCCAAGAATCAAGATCAGACTAAATTTCAGCAAGTCGCTCGTTATGTAAGGACATGAAGGGAAGTCACTCGTTATGTGAGGACACGAGTGGAAGCGCTGAAGAACACTCTTCGATGGCACTGCTCATTTGCACCATGTGGCTGGGTGAGGTGACTGACCTAGTGTTTAACAACAGTGATGAGACCTGGCCCCGGCTTCTGTCCAGGACCACATGCTCATGTCAGTTTGGCTGACCCTGCCATGCACGATCCCTCATTCATAAGAGGCCTAAAGTCTGCTGCAAGAACAGATCTATGTTTAATTACTTCAGGCGCGATGAAGGCCGTAAGCAACATTTAGGTCCAGAAGAACTTTGGGCTGGAGCTCTGCCGTTCCAGCAGCCAGGTAAAGTTAAAAGGCCAGAGGAAAATCCCACGAGAAATCCCACCTCAGATCTCAATGCATAGAAAAGAAAAGCATTTTCAATATACTATGATGAAAACTCACACTAGAAAACAACACTCCGGCTTCCTGACAGTGAGCTCAGTGCAGCCCAAGTGCAGCCACAGAGGGAAGCTGCTTGGGGAGGGAGAGATCCAGAAGGCTGCAGTGGGCTCAAATTAAACAAAAGTGGCTTATCTTCTTAGATGGTAAGGTCAGTGCTATTTGGCGATCAATATGGGATAGCTGTTTAAACTTCACCAACAATAAAGTTCCACCTACTTTAAAGCCTCAAGTAGGGCAGTGCGGTCACAGCAAAAAACGTGAGTAACATAATGAGAGTGATGACGTAATGAGTCACACAGTGGGACTGGTCCTGTGCGCTCTGGAAGAAAGGCCAGTGCTCACACTGGGCCTTCGACCATCCCTGGGATACTGAGGAGGAGACTGTGACAAGAGATGGTATTTCTCTATGTGAAATTAATTTTTGTAACCTGTAGTTAAAAATATTACTATTCTGAAATCTGGAGCCCAAGCAAAAATTACAGATTCCTCCCACACAGGCCTTAAGATCTCTCCCTTCACCACCACCCAAAGGCTCCATACTTCCCTCTGGTCAACGAGGCCCAGGTCAAGGCTTATAAGAAAGGATGGAGAAGGCAGTGGCCAGAAGCCAGGGATTCAAGGAGAGAGAAATGATGGCAGATGTGGTGTAAAAAAACAAGAGGGCAAGAGAAGAAGAGGGAAAAACAGGAAACTAACACTGAGGAGGATGAGGAAATGAAGAGGAGGCCCGGCTTGTCGAGGAGCACTCGTGCCTTTCCACCTGCTGGTGGCAAATGATGCAGAAAGAAGAAAAGGCTGAAGCTCACACGGGGCTCTCCTAGGGCATCGCACATGTCTGAGCCAGGCTGGCCGTGCCCTCTGGGGATGCGTGCGCAATCTAGTGTGACCTGCAAGCACTTCTGTCTTGGGCTCTGGTTCCTGATTCCTAGGTAAGTGATGCTCCCTGCAGCTACCAGCACCCATTTCCACGGCCAGGCAAAGCCCTCAGATCCAGGGGCAGGATTAGCAGCAGCGAGGGTACCCAGAACTTTCCTCTTTTAGAACTGGCTTGTCTCTCCCCCTGCTGGTTGGAGAAGGGAAACCGAGCAAATGTCGTAAAAGGGCTGCTCGTTCAGAATTGTATGGCCTCGTTTCACAAACTACCAAAGGGCTGCCTAGAGTTCATTAGTAATAGATCGATGGTTAAAATACCACCTAAGGACCTCATTGTAAAAGGAGTAACTTGCTATTGAGGTCACACCAAACTTTCAGGGGTTTTGATATTGTCTGCTGCCGTTTTTGTTGTTTTCTTCTCTGATGAAGAATTTAAAAAAAAGGAAAAAGTGAAAGGGTCCTGTTGTCTTCCTTCCTCTCTCCAGAATCCTCACAGACTTTCCTGAGTGAAGTGCCTAAGGGATGCTACAATCACAGAGCTTACAAACGAAGGAGAAAAACAAATTCAGATTGCTTGGACCTACGAAATGAACTACAGCGCATAAGCGGCGCTTGGTTCTCTTCACTTCATCTCTGTAAAATGTCTATGAAATGGCAACAGCCGCCTGAATGACCAATTTACAAATGACAACACATGAGCGAAAAGAGCAGGAAGGTTTTTGGGGAGGAAAACTCCATGTTGGCTATTTTACCTCTCGGGAAAGTCTGTTTGTACTTGAGGCCCACACTTGTCTTTTTTTTCTACTTTCTACTTGATGTTTTTCAGGAGGGCTGTCCGGGCATTCACGACGGCTTTGAAGGCATCTTCGCTGCCGGGAGCTACACATTTGTCAGGGTGCAGCAGCACAGCGAGTCTCCGATACGCTTTATTGACTTCATCCCTACGAAAAGAAGCGAAGCTCTCCGTCAGCAACAGGGCCAGCCCCCTCCACCCCTGCACTTCAGCTGTCTGGATATATAAGAGAGAGAGAACATCTCTTGCAGTAAGCATATCCCGAATAATTATTACCCTTTCTCAAAGGTGGGACTAAAGGACTGGGAAACAAACAACAAACAAACAAATAATATGTAACATACAAGTAGAAAAAAATACAATGCAAAATGAGTATATAAACGCTAAGAAAACGCTAGGTAAAAAAAAATGACCAGATGAAAATAGACAGTACTTGGCACCTAAGAGGCACTCAGCAAATCTTTGCTGAGTGAAGGCATGAGGACATGAAGCCATCAGGGCAGGCCCTCGGAGTAGGGTTCTGGAAAAAAGGGGGGCTCGGGGCTTAATACAGTGGTGGGGAAACACAGAACAACTGGCAGAGGCTGGGAGCGAAGCACGGACACGGTGTGTAGCTCATGAGGAAAGTGATGGGAAGCAACAGGAAACAAAGTTGGCCAGGGAGCAGGGTGAGTCAGTGAAGGGCATCGAGGGTGAAGCAACAAAAACGTCAGATCTGATGAACAATGACGGTAGCAGATATTTCATGACAAAATGGTGCTGGGAAAGCTGTTTCTGAATTTGGAGACAGGTGGGAGGCTGTTACAGCCCGAGCATGAGTACAAGAGTTCAGACTAAGGGGTTTGTGGAAGCAAACAAGGGAGGATAAAAGAGATAACAAAGAAAGAATTGGAAGAAGCAGATGATGAGCTGGATACAGAGGGGGAGAAGACACAAGAAAAAAGGGTGAAATGAGTTCCAGGGTCACAGAGAATCTGATGCCCAAGGAAGATGGTGAGCCACTGGAAAGGGGTACCTGAGAGTAACAGTGAGCTCCCTGAGACCAAAGAAGAAAGAAGAGAGGAGTTAATATTAACCAGAGAGGAAAGGAGCAGGAACAACGAATGTTTCTCCAAAGACCAGCAGAGCCCCAGGAGAGATCTTCAGGCTTCTGAGCACCTCAATGAGCAGGGACTGGCTGGGCCAGGGGCCTGGAGACCACCTGTCCCTATAACTCTCTCTGCTCCTCACTATCCTCAGGTGTCAGGCCTCCGGGAGGCTTCTAGAAACTCAGCGACAACCCTGGTCAGAGTCTGGCTCTGTCTCCACCAGATGGTTTTATTTCCCACCTCCCTTTTGTAATTCAGGGTTCCAGTTATCCCATAAGCCTGCACATGGGGTAACTTTCCCAAATGCCCTAGCTTTCCTCCTGTATCTTTTATCAGAAGGATTTCTAGTTAGGCTCTCCAAATTAGGGAGATGGTCTTTGATATCTCAGATGTGATAGAAAGTCTTAAGGTGTCAAGTTGGAGAGACTGAGGTCATAGGGCCATGTTAACAGCTCTTCATGTCTTCGGCATTTATTCTAAGGCTTTTTCTGCTTTCTGCTCTTAGAGGAGTCCTTCTGAATTTTCTTCCTTTAACCTTGCATGTAGCTTTTCTACATAGATAATTTTGATATTAGCTAACAAGAATCCTATTCTTTCTAAGACTCTCTGACTTTGAGACAGGTACAGCATCCTCTTTTCCTCATGAGTGAGTCCTGGGTAGGGCCACTCTGCTTGCCGAGGGAACATGTCCACATGTAGTAGTTAGCAGTTAGGCCTGGTCCTCTGCACCAGGAGTGCCTTGCAAGAATTCGGGGTAGCAAGAGACTTCTGAGGAAAATTTTTGGAGAAAAAGACTGAGTCAGGTGTGTAACAAATATATTAATTCTACTGAAGATGAAGATTTTCTTAAAGTTCAAGAATAGTAAAACTCTCTATAACTTAAAAAAAATGTTTTTAGGTTTTTCCCAAATGTGCTCAGTGCCATACAAAATGAGTTTGATAGACTCAGAGAAACAAAGATAAGAAAAGTATGTGTTTACTTTGGTCAAGGATATGGAACTTACGGAGGTTTTGTGGATTTTGGTAGATTCCAGTTAACTACAGTGAATAAATAAGGAATCAGAAGTTTCTTTTTTTTTTTTTTTAACAAATATTGTTCTAAGTTAATTAATATGTAAAGTAATAGTTTATTAGTTTTAGAGCCAATATCCCTTGGTGATGAAACGGAAGAATTTAGAATGAGACTACAGAAGTGTAAAAGAACATTTAAAAGACACCAGTTAACTTTGTGCTATATACATGAGGTCATCTGAATTCCTTCACATGTTTAAAGCATCCTGGCAAGTCAAGGGTGACTAATAACTGACTTCCTCATCCCCTCCCCTCTTTCCTTCTGGACTTTAAGATATATGCTATGAGACCAAAATGGAGAAGAGATACCTAATGCTGTTGATGCTGATGAGGTAATTTCAAGACATACTTTTCTCTTTTGTGGGAATCAAGGTGAAAAAGTAGAAAGGGAGAAGCATGTGGAGGAAAGCCGTGGAGCAAAATGGAAAGGTCTGAGAACCTTATAAATTATAATATGCACGGTAAGAGTAGTCGTACACCATTAAAGTTATATAACCATTGAAAGTTAGCAAGAGAGCAGATCCCAAGAGTTCTCATCACAAGGAAAAAAACACTTCACTTTCATTTTCTTTTTTATCTATATGAGATGATGGATGTTAACTAAACTCACTGTGGTAATCATTTCACAATATATGTAAGTCAAGTCACTATGTCGTACACCTTAAACTCACACAGTGCTGTATGTCAATTATATTTCAATAAAACTGGGGGAAAAAGTGATATAACCATAATGAATAATCATTTATTCTTGCACAAGCAACAAAGAGTAACGATGGTATTTCTTTTTCTCCTGAATAATTCTTTTGGCTAAAATAAAATAATTTAACATAAATACATAAAGATGAGGAACTAGCAGGATTTCTGAGAGAGAAAGACAGAAACGGAGAAAGGCAGACACAGTGTTCAGGGTCAAGAATCAATGTCTCCCCCTAACTCCTGGGGTCCCTGGACGTGTGTTTAGTCTCACTGAGTCTCAGTTTTCCCACCTATAAAACGAAATGTTTGGACAAGTTGATTGCTAATATTCTTTCCTTCTCTAAAATTCTATGATTTAAGGATTCTCTTTTATAAGGTATTTTCTTAAAGTTACATTAGCTTCAAGGCTCTTACTAAACAAAAGCACAGCACACGATTTCAGAAAGTATTCATGCATATATGCTACATGGTTCCCTTATCAGGCTACTGTGCCCTCTATTTTGTTTCTTTGGTATTCAGTTAATTCAGTAAAGGAGTGTTATTAATTAATCTAATCTATTTCCACACACCCTCATATTTCTAGCCAATTACAAGAAGATACAGTGCACCTATGATTTTGACGACTGAGTCTTTCTCTGTCATGGAACTCAGCACTGACACCCCAGAGCACTGCTTACCTTGAGGCCCCGGGTTTGACTCCCAACATGTCCCAACTATCTTTACTATTCCGAATTCTGCGAATGGTGTCTGCTTGTTCTTTGGTGAAGCTAGCACTGCTATTTGTGATGGGACGTTTCCCGCCATTTTCACATAAATCAACTATGGATACATAAAAGGTCTGCAAAAAGAAAACACAACCCAGAGTAGAACTCATTTTGTGAAAATAGGAATTGCTTTTAAGCATCAACTTAAAGAATTTTAATATATTCCAAAAACTCTTAAAATTCATGATAAAGCAAATACGTACTTTGGAAGAATTTTTTTCCTTCTAAATATATCTATTTAAACACAAAAAGTACAAGGAATAAAATTTAAATGGCTTATAATCCTACTCTCAGATAACTATACTTGAGGTTAAAAAGTAGCAGATGAACACTGTTAGAAAAATTCAAATAGTAAAGAAGAGTGTAAAATGAAAACTATGCTTCCCTACCCTTCAAGTTCCTCTCCTTGAGAAAACCACTTTTGATATTTTTTTGGGTATCCTTCCAGAAAAATTTTCTATCAGTACACCAGTACATACACACATCCATACGCTAAACATTTGCATAAAAGAGAGTAGATTAAACACACTGCTTAGCACCTTGCATTTTTTTCACATAATAATGAACCCTGGAATCTTTCTCTAGCTGCATATAGACACTTGCTTTGTCCTTTTTTGTTTGTTTGTTTTTTGTTTTGTTTTGTTTTTGAGGAAGATTAGCCCTGAGCTAACATCCACTACCAATCCTCCTCTTTTTTGCTGAGGAAGACTGGCCCCGAGCAAACATCCGTGCCCATCTTCCTCTACTTTATATGTGGGATGCCTACCACAGCATGGCTTGACAAGCGGTGCATGGGTCTGCACCCAGGATCCGAACTGGCGAACCCTGGGCCACCAAAGCGGAACATCTGAACTTAACCGCTACGCCACTGGGCTGGCCCTCTTCATCTTTTTTAATGACTGTTGAGTATTTTACCGTGTGACTGTCCCATGTCATTTAACCAACTCCCTATTCTTGGACAAGTCAACGGTCTCCCTTTGTTTGCTACTACAAACAGTGCTTTGATGAATACCTTTCTGTGTATATATCTCTGCACACTTGTAGGGATACTGTTTTAGGATAAATTCCTAGAAGAAGGACTTTTGAAGAAGAGAGCATGTGCATTTTAATTTTGGATTTTGACAAATTTTGTACAAAAGTGCTGTACCAGATCACACGTCCATCACGGGGTATGAGAGCATCTATTTCCCCAAACCCTCGTCAATATTGGACATTATAGTCCTTCACTTTTGCCAATCTGATGTGTATCTCACAGTTTTGACTCACACTGCTTTAATTGTAAGTGAAATTGAGTATCTTTTTATATGCTTATCAGCTGTTTCTTTTTCTGTAAACTGTTCATATTCTTTGCTTTTTTTTATGATGCTTTTCAACGTGAAAAGTATTTTTTGATCTTGCTCCTATTTTACGATCTGTGCACTGCTTGCTGTTGAATAACTTCACTCAAAATACTAATTTAATGTACTATAGCTGATTTTAGATAGAAATATATCCTTTTCCCTCCATTTCTTTTTAAATCTCTTCCTATTCTTTTCCAGATATTTTTATAGTTCTTATTATTGTCTAAAAGTTTTATCTTTCTCTTAGACTCCTCTTTCTTATCTCCAATAACAGCTAATCAACTTGACAACCTAGATAAGAAGCCTTGACAGGTGAGAAGGGGTGTCATAGGAAAAGCCACTAGATACCAAGACAAAAGCAGTATTGACTTGGTTTTGGTCTATCTTAAATTGCTCTCTATTAACAATGTGAATAAGACAAAACCAAGTTCTTTCCTGACATAAAGTGTCTATTAAATATATAGGAAACAAAGAAAATATTTATTAAATTGAACCAGCAAGAAAGCACTACTTCTAAGTGCTTACTTACAGAATAGTTTTATTACACTCTGTTGGCCCTTTTCTTCAAAAAAAAAAAAAAAAAAACCAGACTAATTTATTCATTAGCCTACCCAAGATTTATCTAACAGGATAAAAGCACCTAAAAGGGATCACAATTCACAGATGTTTGCTTGTGCTATGTATCAGGAAAGTTTTCTTCTAGTCTATAAGTTAACCTAAATATAAACACACAGATTTCTGAAAGCGCAAGTATTCTCTCATAACACACATGGTTACAGAAGATCAGCTGTGCTGTGGTACACAGAACACCAAAAGTGAAGTCAAAAGTCTGTCTAAATTCCATGTCTGAGTTCTAGCCATGATGGAGCAACGGGTACTGAACTAGACATCCTGCCACACACTACTACAAAAGTGGACAAATATATAAGGTAACTATTTTCAGGCAGTAGACAACAGCAAGTGTAAGATTGCTCCTTGGCTTTCTACCTGGAGTCCATTTCCTGATCATGTCACAGAGAGCTGGAGTCTGAGCAGACACAAAGTCCCATTGAGCCAAGGAGGCAGAGACCAGAGCTTGAGGATGCTAGTGGCTAGACGGCTAGAGGATATGCCAGAGCAGGGCATTGGAGAGGAGGAACTCTGCAGAGTTGGGCCCCAGAACCCATGTGGGAGTTCCCCACTAGTTTGTAGCTGAGGGCTAGGCTATACAGACACAGGGTGAGATAATCTGAGACCTAGCAGATAACAGCTACCATGGGGTTGAGAACAGAGCTGCTGTACTGGAAGTCCAGTGGTGCTAGGGGAAGAGCTGTCCCGGGGACACTGGAGCTTGGCCTTGCCAGAGTGGAGAGACTGCCTTAACACCTCATTAATACCCCCAGCATGCAGCTGAGACACCACACAACGGCTATGCCTTAGGAATTAGACTCATCCTAACAAAACCTAAACCCAAGAGCTGACAAGATCTGCACGAGGGACAGAACTTGGAGGCTGAGTCCTGCCAAATCAGAAGGGCTCGGGAAACACTTTGGGCTTCCTTCAGATCCTTGCTGTCAAAGCCAAAAATCAAGTCTACAGAAGTTCAATGTAAGTTTCCAGTAATTAAACTACCTGTGGAAACAAGAATCAACATTTTTCTGAGGAAAATAAAAGAATCTAGAGTCTCCACAATGTCTGGTGTTCAATCAAAAGTCACTACTCTACAAAAAAAATGTTATCCATAGTCAGGGAAAAAAGTAGTCAAGAGAAAATGAACCCAAGATGGTTCAGCTATTGGACAAAGACTTTAAGGCGGCTATTATAAATATTTCCAATAGGTAAAGGAAAACATGTTCAAAGAATTAGAGGAAAATATACTCTTAATAAGTGAACAGATAAGAGGATCTCAGCAGAGAACTGGGAGCCATGTAAAAGAACCAAATACAAATTCTAGAACTGAAAAGTATGGGGAATTGGAAAATTCACTCAGTGGATTTAACAGCAGATTGAAGCCAGATCAAGAGAGACTACATTGTCTGAAAAATTGAGAAAAAAAATGGAAGAAAAATAAACAGCCTCAAGGATGAGGGGCCAAAATCAAATGGTCTAATATACATGTAATTGGAGTCCCAGAAGGAAAAGAGAGTGGGAACAGGGCCAAAGAAAAATTGGAATAAATAACAGTAAAAAAGAAAACCCAACTTCTCAAATGTGATGAAAAACACCTGCCTACCAATTTAAGAAACTCAACAAACCCCAAGTAAAATAGATATGAAGAGAACCACACCTAGGTACATAGCACAATGACTGAAAACCAAAGATAAAGAGAAACTCTTGGCATAGCTAGGGGGAAGAAAAAGACATATCACGTACAAAGGAACAAGAGTAAGAACGGGTACTAATGTCTCATGAGACACAATAGAGGCCAGAAGAGAATGGACCAATATCTTTAAAGCGCTGAAAGAAACTGACCCTCTAACAGTTATTGTTATTATTATTATTATTATTATTATTTTGAGGAAGATTAGCCCTGAGCTAACTACTGCCAATCCTCCTCTTTTTGCTGAGGAAGACTGGCCCTGAGCTAATGTCCATGCCCATCTTCCTCTACTTTATATATGGGACACCTACCACAGTATGGCTTTTGCCAAGTGGTGCCATGCCCCACCTGGGATCTGAACCGGCCAACCCTGGGCCGCCGAGAAGCGGGACATGCGAACTTAACCGCTGCACCACCAGGCCGGCCCTAACAGTTATTATTTATACCTCTTGGACAAATCACTACCACTTTTAGATGTCCTCATATCTGAAATGAGAATAATACTTGTCACACATTGTTAAGAGTCTCAAATGAGATGAAACATGCAAACTCTTCCAGAATTATACAATACTATTCAAATGGTTAAATGTCATTATTGCACATACATAGGTACGAGTTAACATAGGTCGACGTACTCAAAAGACTAAAAACATGGCAAAGCAACATCAACCTTCTATTCTTGACATAGAAGCTACTGATGCCCAATTCAGCCTGTCAGCCAAGGATGAAACCTGTCTTCTGGTAGGAGGGGTGACATCTTGTGAGAGGGAAATTCAGCATAAAAGATTAAATAAAATCCCACTCAGTAATTAGGAACAACTCTTTATAGTATAGCTACATTATTTGAAATGCTAAAAATTCCCAAAATATGAGATATATTCACAAGAAAAAAATGCATTATTCATGCCATGACTTACTTCCAAATGTGTCTATAATTAAGAATTGACTTGACTTTATAACTGATTGTTGAAATAGCCTCCTCTCCTTAAAATTATTCAAGACTAGTAAGTTTTAAAAAGTGACCATCTATTCAGGTTGTGATATGAGTACATCCTTCTCTCGTACTCATATTCTTGACTGGTAAGACCTAATTTTTATGTGCGACTGGCTGGATTCTGTAATAACAGTCTCCCACTCTCTAATTGCACCCCCATGGTCTAGAATATAGGATTATACTAGCTATGGCGAGGCAATTTTGCCAAAGGAATGCTTCCATTTGATTATGAATACAAATGTAACCAAAGGTAGCTCTGAAGACAATCTTTGTCCCACTTAAGTAAGTGTACAATAACTGTTGTTAAACTTGATGACTAAACTAGAGAGCTTCTTCAAAATACAGATTCCTGGGTTCCGGCACAACATTAAGCTTCCAGTAGATCTGGAGCCCAGTAATCTGTATTTGGAAGAATCTCCCCAAGTAATTCTGATGATCAGCCAAGTCTGGGCTAAAATAACAGCAGACATATCACACAGACACACACATTCATTCTCTTTTCTCTCTCTTTCCCACCAGCTTCTGGAAAGAAAGAGCTTATTCTAATGAGAAATTCCTGCTACTTTTTTGCTTCTCATAATTTAAACTAAAATTTGGCATCGTCAGCCTTGACACAAACTCTAAAATAACAAAATGCTAGGTTACCTGGAACATCTCGTTGATTCCTTCTCCGGTTTGTGCTGAAGTTTCAAAGTACAGGAATCCTTTGCTTTCGGCCCAAAGACGCCCTTCACTTTCATCAACACAGCGGTGCTTGGTACAATCGATCTGAAATAGAAAGTTATGGGGCAGAGGGAAGATTTCAACCTTGTCCCACTAGGATAGGCCCAGTGAGGTCTGTGTCAATCCTTCACTGAGGCAAATACCATTCTCAAATGAACCCCAGCGCTAGTACATCAAATTACCAGGAGCAAAAGGGCCAAAAAATTAATAATACTGAATGCGGACTGATTTTCTGTGGCAAAACAACAAGCGCCTGCAACCGCATTTCCCACTTTATCCCGGGAGAAAACTCTACCCCTCCCCTCTGTGAAGCCTGGCTGCATGACATCTGCCCCACTCAAGGGGCCATGGGCTGCTTCTCACACCTTCCCATAGTGCTCATTTCACCTGACTACGGCCCCTCCTCCAATCAGGTCAGAGCGTGATAATCAGGACCCACCTCTCCTGCTCAGTCACAGTATCCTTCCCCAAGTAAGACACCAGAAAAAAAATGGACAAAAATCCTGATATACCAGGTTTTGCTTATTTTAGGGACATATGTTTTGAAAAGCTGTTGATTCCTATATTACAGAATAAAGAATTTTTCTTTTCTTTTTATTTATTCCCCAGAACTCAGAGCTGTAGTCTTCCCATAATGAATCTAGAAAGTTGAGCATACCATTTCCAAAGCAATTACCTTGTTGGCACACACCACAAAGACAATATTTTCCATGTTTCCATGAGGTCCAAGATCTTGCTTCATTTCTGCCAGCCATGCATCAAGGGCATCAAAGGAGTCTTTCTGCCCAACGTCATAGACCAGTATCACACCCTGTGTGTCCTTGTAAAACTCGTTACGAACCTTCACACAAAAGAACGGATGCACAAAATGTAGGTTTTCTGATTTTACAAAAATACACCTCACAGTCATTAACTTAGCAAAGTGTATTCTTTTGTGTATTCATAGTATTTACTATTGTATGTCAATATGTGCTGGTCTTTAGAGGACCTTTTACAAAATGAAAGTATCATAAAGAACAAAACAAAACCCTATTAGCACAGCAGGACTTGTAATGGAAACAGCAGCCTCCTGCCCCATCCCTCCTCACCTCCAGTTCGACTCCCCAGAGGCAATCAATCTGTAATTGTTGTTAGTAGGCTTTAAAAGAACACAGATTATAAAGTTCTTCTTAGGAGGAAGTAGGAAGGTGAGTGAAAAATTAAAAAGAACTAAGTGACCCAAGTATCAGCGAGAGGTACGGCCATTTATGTATCGCATCCCAAAGCTGGCTTCCCCCAGGACGCCGGGCAGAGCTTCCCCAGTGACTCCCGATCTGGACACCAGCTTCAGAACTCCAAACTCAGAGCCTCTGTGCAATGCAGCAGAAAAGAGCTCAGGCTCTGGAGTCAGACAGATCTGGGTTCACATGTACTCACCAGTTGTGTGATTTTGGGCAAGTCACTTAACCTGTGTCTCAGTTTCCTCATCTGTAAAATGGGGATACTACTACTTACTTCACAGGGTTATTATGAGGATTAAGTGAAATAATGAAGGCAAAGCACCTAAAAGGTGCCTGGAAAACAATGTGTATTGGAACCTTCTCCCTTGCTTCCTTGCATGCATTCTCTGCTTGTCCTCCTCTGATGTTTTCATTGGAAATGGCAACTCGCCGCTGGGGCATGTCTACAATTCTGGGAAGAGGCAGCATGAAGTACTGGGCACACTAAAGTGACAGAGGCAATGACAGGCTGGATGACTGAAGAGCAACTTTGACAAATTGGGAGTTTCAGGCCAAAATTCCAGTAAGAACCTTGACAGAGGCCACGTATTACACGTTCTTTTCAGAAAATTCCAGTACGTCTTCTGACTCACAATGGATATGTTGTAAGAAATGAAGGCATCTACACATCAGGCAGGAAGTATCTATAGGTTTCTGAGCATAGACAGATACCTGGACCAAGAATGTAAGTACCTATTAATTCGTAGGAACTTAAGAAGCAATCCCCTAATATTAAAACCAACAGAATCAGAAAGAATTCACCATGATGACTAGAGTGAGTCGGCTCCCCTCAGCACTCACGGTCCTTAGCCCTCCTGCGGGAGTTGAAACAGGGCTCCCCCTTCTTTCCTGAAACTCTAGCTGCCTTGGCTCCCATACACCACATTCTCCAGGTCCCTAACTGATCTCTCACCAACTCCTCTTCTGTCCATTGCTCCCACTTCAGTCTGCCACCACAATTACCCAAATCCTGTCCTGGGCCCTCATCTTTTCTTTTTTAATCCTTCCTCCCAACTCAGCAAAATCAACCACTTGCACAGTTTCAATTGTGAGAACCTCCAAGATGAGTCCTTTCATCTGTGCTTCCAGACACGCATTTCCAATTAGTTCTAGACTCTTGCAGCTCAATGTCCTGTTGGAATCTCAAATTCAATATGAACAACAGGAAACCCTCCAACTTATTCTTTCCTAACCTCTTCCTTCTCTTGAACTTCCAGTGAAGGAAATTAGCACATACTCATCTGAGTCATTCAGCTTGAAAGCCTGGTGTTAACTGCTGCAGCTGTCCTGTCCCTTTGCTCAGCAGTTTCAAACAATCCTGCAGAAGCCACCTTTGCCATGTTTCTTGAACCTCTCACTTCCTTTCCATTTTTATTGCTAACATTATCTCTTGACTGCACTGCTGCAAGAGTCTTCCAAGCAATCCCCTAGCAACATTATACACTGTGCATATGTATCTTTTTAAAGCCCTGGTTCAAAAATTCTTTAGTGTCTCCCCACTGCCAACCTCCTCAAGTTCAAACTCTTTTAATTGACATCAATGGTGTCTGATCAGTCCTCCACCAACTTCCTAGTCTTACCCTCCTACTATCCCCTGTACTTCAAACCGACAATCTCTCTTTCCCCCAAACTTGCCCTATGCCTCTGTAAGTCCATCTGGAAACAGACACCTCTTTGTCTTTAATCTTCCAAGGTCTAGCTATAATACTGTATCTTTCACACGGCTTTTTCTGTCCAATTCCTCCCCATCTAATCTCCTATGCCTGCAAAACAGAATGTAATCTCTATGTCCCCTGGAATACCACAGCATCTCGTATTTCTGATAGTGCTCATGTCACTTCCTGTCTGGTTTCACAGTCAGTAGCATGTCCAGTTGTCTTCCCCACTAGACTGTGAGCAACGTGAAGGCAAGCATCTTGAGGCATCCCTGTGTGCCATTCGCTGGGCCTAGCAGATGTAAGTATTTGAGGCATATTTGTTTAATCAAATGGCTGGATGTGCTTTCTAGTAGAGAACAAAAGTAGAGGCCAAAGGGAAAAAGAAAGAATTTCAAAATGCAGATCATGCTGTCCAAAGGGAGACTGGCGTGTAAAAAGAGACTTAAGCAAGCTCAATGGATTTCTCTTTCAAGGGACTCATATTCAAGTCTGGGTTCAGTGACTAGCTACCCAGGTAATCTTGAATGAGTTATTTTACTACCTCAAGCCGTAGTGTCCTCATCTGTAAAATGAAAAGGTCAAAGCAGACGTCTTACTGGCCGCCTACACTTCTATTATTCTTGTCTCCCAAAACCACTTTCTAAGGTTAGTCCTGGCAGACTTGCTCCATCCAAAGTTTAATTAAATATGATGCTAAGGGAATTGGGATTATTTAATTCTTAAAGCAGAGATGGCAAACTTTCTAGCTTGTAGGTTAGAGAAACCTGTAGTTTAACATCACTCAGGCCTCAGAAAGTTTCTATGGACTCTCTAACTCATACCAATAAACCCCAGAATTCAGCTGTGTGCATGGGAGAAACAAGATCAGCGGTCAGATACAGCCCCACCACTCCCTTGGCAGTCCCTTCTTTGACACCTGCCTCTGACAGTATCTCACATACTAAGTGGACCGTCCTTTCTCAGCAGGCCCTTTGAGGAAAACTGTCAAAAGGACTGGTGACAGGAGAAGCCTCAAATAGAAGCCAGGGATCATAAGAATGGCTGTGGCCACTGCCCTAGGTGTGTCCCGAGCAAAGGTATACTTTGGTCAGCTTGGGCTTAGAAAGAAGACGATGGCTTTGGTCTTGTCAAAAAGGAGAAATCGGTTACGGACAGCAAATATTTGACAAAAAAAAGAGAGATCAAGGCTATATAGGAGAAAAGGTACTTCGGAAGTGGTGACTTCAAGGAGCTTCTATTAATTATACTTCTATTTTTATGAGCTGCTGAACAAAAGTAATTGCAATTTCAGGTTGCATTAATAGGAGTCTAGTGTCTAATGATAGAAAGTAACAGAACACTCAGTGTTTTTCACTAGTTAGTATCTGGAAAGTTGAGTTCAGTTCTCAGCTTCCTATTTGCTAACTAGAGATTATTCACAAAGGATGCTGATAGGTCTAGCTGAGACAGGAATAAAAAAATGTTTTACCTGGAAAGGAGCAAATTAACAAATAGTAGAAAGGCTCTCCTGGAGAAGCAGAGACTCAGTCTATATTGCTTCAAAAACAAGGCCAGAATCAGAGGTGAAAGTCAAAGGAAGGGGGCCTTTCTAAGGGAGAAGCTGCTAATCTAGTGTTTAGCACTGTAAGGGATTAACCAGTGAGGCAGTGAGACCCCGTCATTAGAGACAGTCATTCTCCAAATTCTTACAGTCTGCACCAGTCACAACTGTCCTGTGTATCATATTGTCCCTGGATTCCCACCAACCTGCATAACACTTATTTATCCATCAATACTCAGTTTAAATGTTGCTTCCTTCAATAGGACTTCCTGACCTTCCAGATAAGCTAGGTCTGGGTATTAAGTGCTCCCAAGCATTGTGTCACTTGTTTAACATATTCTCTGACATATTTATGTTCCATGAGAACAGGGGCTGTGTATTTTGCTTCCAGCATAGAAACTGGCATAGTATCTGGTGAATGAAAGATGGCCATCAATCAGGAAGGCTGAAGAAAGAAATCCTACAATGGGCAGCGGTCTGGACCACGTTAATTCTCAGGCATCTTCTAACTCTCCATTTAGATGACTTTGATATAATCTAAGATTTATGGTAACATTTCTGGTGGTTAGAATCTATGTCAAACTTGTGGTCACCCAGACCCTCCACGCGTTTTTCACTGGTATTATTCTATGCTTGTGAAATTGATTTAACCCACTATAAGGCTTCGGCTTTAAAACAAATTCATTTTACATAAATATTTGGGTATATTCACAAGATGGAAGATTATACAGCCATTAAAAGTTATATTTTCTTCAGGAAGATGGAGTAGATTTACTTTTCCCAATTCTTCCTGCTAAGTACGAGTGAAAATCCTGGATATTATATATAAAACATCCATAAGAGGGCCAGCCCTCGTGGCCTGGTGGTTAAGTTCAGCATGCTCCGCTTCCATAGCCTAGGTTTGGTCCCTGGGCGTGGACCTACACCACTTGTCTATGAGTGGCCATGTTCTGGCGGCTCACATAAAAAAGAGGAAAATTGGCAAAAGATGTTAGCTCAGGGTGAATCTTCCTCAGCAAAAAACAAAAAAACATAGATAAGAAGACTCTGGAAGGTGGAGAGAGGGAGCCAGATAAACTAGGGACCTCAGGACCCAAGGAACAACATAACGGCGAGTTTCCTGGATTTTCTTTTGCTTTATACAACCAAGCTGAAGAAGTACTACTTGGAAATGCCAGTGAATGCAGACAAATAAAAGCCCGACAAAATCCTGCTCTCTTCAGCCAAAGAATCAGGAAAGAAGCAGACTTGCAAGACAAAAACTTCAGATGATAATCACTCCATTCCAGCCACACACCTCGGAAAAAGCCTGTCTCTCCAACCCCACCCACTCAAGCAAAGGCTGAGTGGAAATTTTAGAAAAATAAATTAACAAAAAATACAATAACGGAAATAAAAAAGTTTAGCAGTTGGGCTCAACAGCAGAATGGAGGGGACAGTGGAAAGAATCAGTGAACTGGAAGATGAAACAATAAAAATTACCCAATCTGAATAATAGAGAGAAAATAAACCAAAAATAAGTAAATAAATAAATAGAACAGAGTTTCAGGGATCTGTGGGACAACAAGATCAGAGTCCAGGAAGGAGAGGAGAAACAGGTGGGGCCGAAAAGGTACTCAAAGAAATAATGGCTGAAAACTTCCCAAATTTGGCAAGAGACATAAACCTCCAGATTCAAGAAGCTGAGAAAATCCCAAACAGGAAAAAAACCCAAAGAAATCCATGCTAACACACATCATAGTTAAACCTCTAAAAACTAAAGACGAAGGAAAAATCATGAATGCAGCCAGAGAAAAATGACACTTCTCCTGCGGGGAAAAAACATCTCAAATGATAGCAGATTTCTCATCAGAAATCTTGGAGGCCAAAAGAAAGAAGCATACTATTTTTCAAATGCTGAAAGAAAAGAAATATCAACCCAGAATCCTATAACCTGAAAAAATATTCTTTAGGAATGAAGGGGAAATCAAAACATTCTCAATCAAGGAACACTAAGAGAATCTGTTGCCAGCAGACCTATGCTAAAAGAATGGCTAAAGGAGTTCTCTGAATGGAAAGGAAATGATAAAAGAAGGAACCTTGGAACATAACAAAGGACAAAAGAACAGAATAAGCAAAAATATGGGTGAATATAATAGACATTCCTTCTCTCTTGAGTTTTCTAAAGTATGTTTGACAGTTAAGCAAAAATTGAACACTGTCCGATGTAGTGCTAAATATATGTGGAGAAAATATTTAAGACAATTATATTATAAACGAGGGACGACAAAGTAATATAAAAGGAGGAAACGTTTCTACACTGCATTCAAAGTGTTTAAATGACGATGCTAGCAGACTCTGACAACTTACATAGTGTAATACTAGAACATCCACTGATGAAGCTACGCAGAGAGATTTACTCAAAAACACTATAGACAAATCAGAATGGAATTCAAAGAGTGCTCAAGTAACCTACAGAAAAGCAGGAAAAAGAAAACAGAGAAATGAAAAACAGAAAAAAACCCTGGCAGACTTAAGCCCTAATACATCAATAATTACATTAAATATAAGTGGTCTAAAAATACCAATTAAAAAAAAATAAAAAATAAAAAAAAAATACCAATTAAAGGACAGAAATTGGCATAATAGATTAAAAAACATGACTCAACTATCTACTATCTATAAGAAAGTCACTTCAAATATAATGATATAAGCAGGCTGAAAGTAAAAGGATAGAAAAAGATGTATCATGCAAACGTTAATGAAAGGAAAGCAGAAATGTCTCCATTAGTATCAGATAAAGTAGACATTACAGAAAAGGAAACTACCAGAGACAGAAGGGAGAAATATATAATAATAAAATTATATAATGAAGACATAGCAATGGTAAATGTGTATACACCAAACAACAGAGTTGCAAAATTTGTAAAGCAAAAACTGACAGAACTGAAAGGAGAAAATAATCAAATCCACAACTATAGTTGGAAACTTCAACACCTCTCTGTCAGCAATTGACAGAGCAATTAAACAGAAAATCAGTAAGGATATAAAAGAATTCAACACCACCACTCACCAACAGGATCTAATAAATATTTATAGAACACTCCATCCAACAATAGCAGAATACACATTCTTTTCAATGCCCACGTAGCATACACCAAGGTAGACCAAATCCCAAGCCATGAAAAACCCTCAAAAATTTAAGAGAATCCAAAAAAAAAAAATTTAAGAGAATCAAAATCATACAGTGTGTTCTCTTATCACAATGGAATCAAATCAGAAATCAATAACAGAAAGATAACAGGAAAATCTCTAAACACTTGGAAAGTAAACAACACACTTTTAAATGATCCATAGGTCAAACAGAAAATCTCAAGGGAAATAAAAAAACATATTGAATGAATGAAATGAAATATGAATGAAAATGAAAATACAATATATCAAAACTTGCGGAAAACAGGTAAGCCGTGCTGAGAGGGGGATTTACAGCACTAAACGCATACTCAGAAAAGAAGAGAGTCTCAAATCAATAATCTAAGCTCCCACCTCAAGATCCTAGAACAAGAAGGGCAAAATAAACCCACGGCAAGCAGAAGGAAGAAATAATAAAGGCAAGAGCAGAAGCGAAATGGCCAAACTAGAAAAGGGTGAAAAGCCTCCACAGGGAAAATGAAAAACTCAAGGAAGGAAAAACACAAGAGAACGGCCACGAGATTCATCTGAGACTACTTAGGACCGAAATTTCCTACCACCATTTAAGGGGATACTACAAAAGACCAACAGATATCCATTAAGTTAGGGCTCAGAAGGGAAGCTACAAACACCAGCTAAATTTACCTGTTTTTATACATGATTTTAATATTGGTTGTTTCAGATAATTCAGGATCTTTCCTTAAGCCCACTGATAATACTGGTATAGGTTTTCTCAAAAAGGCTTTCTTACCTCGTAGAAGAAGGGATGTCCAGCCATATCAAAGATGTTAACTTTGATTTCTCTGTCTCTGACTTGTACCCTGAAATGTTCAAATGGAAACAATCCCAAAGAAGGTCATGGTTTCTGCAATCACATTAACATCATTTATGTCATTTATGAATTTCAGAAGAGTATGCATATGACATTTAAATGAGGCTTTCTTAGTGCCTCTTCTTGATTCCAGGTAATCTTTACAACAGCCAGCAACTTGGAAGATGACTCTGCCTCCTATTTTAAGAACACTGTGCTCACTGGAACAAGAACTCTCACTTACTTTCACCTTACCTCGGGACGCTTCAGTCCACACCCCTTAACTAACAAACGGTACCACTGCTATGCTAAGAAAAACTCATTTGGGACAAGTAGGAATGAGATGAAAGAAAATAAAATGTTTCATTTCACTTAGAAAGACATTTTAATTACTACTGGTTATGCTTGGTTACCACGCAGTACAGTAACAAAGATATATATTATTAATGACATTTGTTTAATTTTCTTGTGACCTTCATTTGGGCAAGAGCAATGGTCAATTTGTTCTCAGAAATTTGAAAATAGAGAAAAGAACAAAAAGAGAGATAACAACGGAAATTTGTAATAGAATTAACTACTGTTAACATCATAGCATATTTGCTTCTAGGCTTTTTTTTGGAAAGAAAAATCACTATTGGAAAATGAATGAATGAAACATTGTAAATAATTCAAACACTAAAGAAAAAATACAAAAACGAAATTTTAAAAGTGAGCCCAAATTCTATCACCCAGGAAAAACCTTCATAAACATAGGTGAACATCATTGTAGACTTCTTCTATGCATAGATAAGACTAATAAATACAAATATTTTTATAAAAATGGGATTATACTATCTTAAAATAAAAAGCATAAAATTTACTCTATATTAACAAAAGAAAAAGAAACTGACGTGAGCTGGGAGGAATTATTGAGTTTTAAATATAAATGTTTCCTCACCACAGAAATATTATTTCCTAAAATATTCTCTAAGGTTAAGAATAGAGAGTATTAACCATCAATTAACAGATTAGAATCATGACATTTTTTAAGTAACGTGTTTCAGTTTGGACAGCATTGACATGACTCCCTCCTATGGAATACAAGGACATTAGCACTTGCCTTATTGTCCCTATAACACCTCCTGGCTGGTCTATTACCACCATCCCCTTGTCCAAGTTTATATCATCCACTTTCTGTTCTGAAACCATAATTCCTACAGTTGTTTTATATTACTTGCATATTTAAATCAAGCTAACCACTAATCATCTTATCATGATTTCTCCATTCCTGAATTCTCTTCCATATTTCATCTATTCTAAGATGCACATTTGTTTTCATTTTAACATCTGTGAAATCAGGATCCATCTTATAAAAGAGAGTGTGAGAACTGCAAAATAAAACAGAATAATAACAGAGTTTGAGAGCATCTGGTGAAGATCTGGTATAACAATTTATATTAGAAATTTTTACAGTAAAAAGACAGCAGCTAAGAAGGGATGGAGCTGAAGTCTATAAAGTGAGGAAGTAACACAACTGTGTTCACACATTGAAACTCAGAAGCTAGACAGGGGAAATTATCTTAAGAAAAATGAGAATTCATCATCTCAAAGTAGTGCTTTCCTAAGTTGTGGCCTGAAAACCACCTGTATCATAATTACGAGAGGTTGTTACAAATGCAGATTCCTGTGCCCCACCCTCAGATCCAGCAAATCAGAACCTTAGTGTAGGTCCTAGGAGTCTGTATCTTTACAAACTCCACAAGTAATTCTTAAGGATACTGTAATTTGAGCTTCACTGTATTGAAAACAGTAAGCATGGAATGGGCACTTATTATTTTGACTACCCAAAAGAGTATTCCCCGACTTTCTCCTCCCAGGTGTGGTTCAGATGGGTTCTGACATCTTAATGATCCCACCTGCTGGCCACAGCCAACCGAGCTGGGGAAAGGTATCTGTCCTCCCCTGGACAATCAAAACCTTCCCTGGGATTTTTAAGCTTGGGATATTAGTTGCGGTCTCTCTCTGGAAGTAAAATTTACAACGTGAGCCTGAGATCGCTGGCAGCTGCGTAGAGGGAGTCAAAAGTTAGAGAGAGAGATGTAGTGAAATGATCTGGCTATATTCTGTCCCTGGTTCTAGCCATCTCTGAGGCCCAGCTACATCCTTGCAATTGGATTATGTGAATTGATTAATATCCCTTTTTTTCCTTGAGTTGGTTTTCTGTTGATTATACCCTCCTGACTCACCATAGGACAATCATCTTTTCCAAAAAAAATTCAGCCAGAAACAGAACAGCCTGTTGAATAAACCACAGTTCCATAACATAACATGGTGATTCTTACTTCTTAGAGGAATAAATTAGCTACTTACATGGATTCAAAACAAAACGGGTTTAAATAGGATATCCTACCACATCATTGATGAAATCCTGTGCCCTGAAGTACAGATCCTCCACTTCAGTCTACCTCTTGAATGTTGCCCTCACGTTCTAATCTTGCAAACTTTCTCTTTAGCTATATCTATCTTACCCTAACAATAAATATTTACTGAGTATCTACTGTGCATAAGCACTGTGCCCAGCACTTGGAGATAATTTATACTAACAGCCCCTTCTTCATGGAGCTAGCTCATAATCTAGCAGGAGACATAAATATATACAAATAATAATAATAACACAAGGCAATTTATAAGTACCATAAATAGCAAAGAGAATTTCAATATTTCTGTCACTTGCAACCAAAAAGCTTCCTGATTGATAAACAGGGTGTTCAGAAGGCCTTACGGGAACGGCAGCATTTTACCCCTTGAAGAGATTGACAGGTAGAGATGAGAGGAAAGGACACTTCAGGTGGACAGAATGAATAACGGCACCGAGATAGGAAAGTAGGAGGATAGCAGTTCAGTGTGCATGGAGAGCAAAGTGTGTAAAGGAATGCAGGAGAGAGAAGGGGAGGGGAAGTTGGGGCCAGAATAGTGAGCACCTGAGATCCCGCCTTTGGGGGTGTGCAGTCTCCCCCAGTTCTCCGCTTCGGCAGTACTGTTTCCTGTGAACGTGACCCTGTCCCCCCAGCTCAGCCCACCCTTGATTAGTCTCCAAATAAATCCCCACTCATACCCAATTTTACTCTTCCCAGATCATTTTTGCTAAATTCCAATAGGCTATTAAAGATCATAAACCAATACAGGAAGTCCCCTGATAGAAAATTTTCCACATAATATTTAGACTTTAGAGAGAATATTTCAAAATGTTCTAAAAACACACTTGCTAACAGGACCTGCTTATACGGAAACATGTTTCCTGACAGGTCACATCTACCAGTGAGGCTTTGTGCGGAGTGCTCATCACTGTAGACCCCACATCTAACAGGAGGCCTGGCGAACAGATGTGCTCAACGAGGAACAGATGACATGATCACTACATATCTGTAAAGGTCTCTTACTCTATTCCTATCTTTCTTAATTTATCTTCAGAATCTCTATATCAAGACAGATCATTTTACAAAGGTTCTGAATGTAATTTACAAGCCCAAAGAAACAATATACTCACTTTGTGACTCCATAGTCAATTCCAATTGTTGCAAGATATTTAGATACAAATCTTTTCTCACAGTATCGCTTTATAATACAGCTCTAAAAAGGTAAAAATACATGCTTTTAGTAAAAAACACTCTGAGAACACACACAAAATAAGGACATTTCTTTATTATGGTTTCTTCATTCACCATGGAGAGGGAGAGCATTTTCAAAAGCCAAAACTACAAAATAATTGAAACAAATGCTAAAAGTGAAGATTTTAAAGAAAAATTATTTAAAAATTCTTCCCCTTAATACCAAATATGGGTATGTTTTCAGTTTAGTTCTCAATCCTATGCTGTTTTCTTTTGAAGACCACCAATCTCCAAATATCTCTCAGACTAGTTTCTACTTAGATGTCCCACTGTTACCGCAAATTCAACATGTCCAAAAATGAGCTAACCTTATACACAAAAACAGCTTGTCCTGCTGACATCCTAGTTCTGTTAATAATAGCACCATTTTCCCAATTACAGAGGATTAAAATACCAAAGTCACGTTTGATTCTGAGCCTTTCTAAATCTTCTTTTGAACGTTTTTCCCATCTTTCTCCTCATTCCGATGCCCGTTGATATCACCGTGGTTTAGGTCCTCATCATCTCCTCCTAGACGACGGTAGGAAATTCTTCACTGGTCTTTCTGCTTCCTTTTCCTCCCAACTTAATCAATATTGCACACCACTGACACTATTTCATTTCCCTAACTAAAAAATCTTCAGAGGCTTCGAAATCTAAATCTTCAGAATCTTCAGAGTTCGAAATCTAAATTCCTTTGTCCGTTATTCAAGGTCCTCCATAATCCGGCCCTAATCTGTCTTCTCTGTCTAAACTCTTCTATACAAACTCTCCATTTCTGCAAACCTCTCAGCACCCGACCTCCTGACTGTCGTTACTTTTCCCTCTATTTGGAATGAGCTTTCTCCCTTCTTTCCAAATCTTACTTATCCTTCAAGGCCCAGCTCAAACTCTGAGCACCCAGGTTAAAAGAGATCTTGCCTGTATCTGAATTCCTCTAGTACTTTACATAAAAAATCTATTCCGTATATATATATATATATATATATATATATATATATATATATATATATATAATGTGTTTGCCATCAGTCATACACTGCCTGTTATCAATTATCTTTTCACATGTGTATATTTATCTTATCTCTTCAGCTAGACAATAAACTACTTGTGGGCAAGAACCAGTATTTTACTTCTTTGTATCTTTTGCAGCAGTTAGCTCAGTGCCAATGAAAAACCAATTTAGAACGACTTGTATATTAATAACAATCCTTAGCATTCATGAAACTTACAATTTACTTGAAGTACTGATAATGGAGTTTATTCTGCTCAAACCCTTTCCTGATGAACCTCAATCTAAATCAAATAGGACAGTTACTTTAAAAAGTACTTAATAAGCTCATTGTGAACTGAAGGAAAAATTTCTTTGCAGTGACTACTGCTAAGAGGTTATACTTTTAAAGACACTTTATAGCTTGAAAGCACTTCTCAAATGTTTTCTCTCATGATATCTTAGAAAAATAAACATAGCCTTTTTCTAAATTATTCATGAGATTAGGGACCTGGAAGTCCTTTTACTCCACTATTCAAACACTAGTCCTAAGTGTTTAAAGAGATACACATTTAAATAACAGTATTAATAACGACTCTCTATAACACAAAGAGACAGGGCTCCCGGGCCTTGGGACCTTCTAAGCTAAGTTAGATAACATAAATATGGAAAGAAGTTTTTGCTTTCTCTATTTTTCTTAAACAGATCTTTAGGCACTTTTATTTTTTTTAATACAGTTCCAATGAAAATCTTAATAGGTTTGAGCCTTTTTTTCTAAGTTACCCTAAAATTCATATGAAAGAACAACTATCTGAGAAGAGCTAATCAAAGTATTAAAAAGAGGAGTGGGGCAGTAGAAGAGGAGGGAATTTGGCTTGACAGATATTAAAATACAGCCTGAAAAACCAATCCAGACAGAATTATATTGGCATAAGGACAGACAAGTAGGTCAGTAGAACAGAACAGAGAGCCTAGAAATAGATTCCATTATATAAGGAAATTTAAAAAGCAAAGACATTGATATTAAAAGTCAATGGGAAAAGAATGATTTATTTAGTAAAATGTTACCGGCACAATTGAATATACATCTGGAAAAAAATTAAGTTAGGTCCTTAACTTTCCTATATACAAAAATAAATTACACATGAATTTGAGTTAAGCATTTAAAAATAAAACAAAAATGTCAGAAGAGGGGCTGGCCCCATGGCCTAGTGGTTAAGTTCGGTGAGCTCCACTTCAGCAGCCTGGGTTCGGTTCCCAGGCATGGACCTCCACCACTTGACAGCAGCCATGCTGTGGCGGCAACCTGCATACAAAATAGAGGAAGACTGGCACAGATGTTAGCTCAGGGTGAATCTTCCTCAAGCAAAAAGAGGAAGATCGGCAACAGATGTTAACTCAGGGCGAATCTTCCTCAGGGGGAAAAAATCAGAAGAAAATGTGCAGCATATGTACAACCTTAGGGAAACCTTTTCAATCAAAAAAGGAAGCCCAGAAACCACTAAAGAAAAGACAGGCATAACTGAGTATATGTAAACAAAAATAATAAAAGCAATTGTATGGGAAAACATCTATAAAAATATTAAAAGATGACACACTGAATATTTGTAACTCATATGACTGGCAAAAAGTTAATATCTCTAATGGTCCCAAACCAGAAAAATTGGTAAGAAAGACACATGACCCAATAGAAAAATGTGTAGAGAGTATAAATGGGGCAATCCATAGAAGAGCAAATCCAAATGTCCAAGAAGCATATGAAAAGATGCTCACTTCATCTGTAGTCAGTGAAATGCAAATTAAAGTCACAATGAAATTACTTCTCACGAACCAGATTGGTAGTAATTAAAAGAATGACAACACTGTGTTGGCAAGGATTTGGGGAAAAGAGTGCCTGCATACTGCTGGTAGAAATAGACATTTTTGAAGAGCAATTGGCAATAGCTACTAAAATAAAAAAATGTGCTCTTCAACTCAGCAGTTGCACCCCTGGGAACCTAGTCCATAGAAACTAGAGTACCAGTATTTAGGATATATATACATACAAGCATATTTATAGCAACATTGCTTGTAATAGGTAAAAAAGCTGGAAACAAAGTGAATTCTCATCAATAGAGAACACTTGCATGATATGGATTATTATGCAACCACAAAGCAGAGCCAGTAGAGTTGTGTCAGATAACTTGGAGGGATTACCATAACCTACTGTTAAGAGAGAAAAGCAACCTCCAGAGAAGTATATACAATATTGCATGACGGGGGTACTTTTGACTGCAAGTAAGAGAAACCCAATTCAACTGATTTAGCAGGAAAATATTTATTTAATATAACTGGAAATCTAGAATTAGGGCAAACTTCAGAGTTGGCTGACACGAAGAGTCGATGGTAAGCACATCAGGAAATTTCAGGTTCTAGAGGACACTGAGAACTGGGCTTCGGGGAGGTTGACTGCTGAAGCAGAAAGCTGAACTGGATGTAAACAAAGACCAGAGAGAAATTTCAGGGTTCCTTCACAGAGGGGATTGATCCCTTGGGAATCTTCTTTTTCTTACTGCATTTCTAGAACCTCTAAAACAATGCTGAATAATAAAGGAAAATAGCAAGCATCCCTTTTGGTACCTAATTTTAATGGAAATGGCCTTAGCATTTCACCATCTGGTATATTTGCTGCTGGTTAACAAATATTGTTTATCATATTTAAGTAGTTTCACTTTATTCTGATTATGCCTAAAGTGTTTACTAGGATTGACTACTTGATTATATCAAATGTCTTTATAGTACTGAAAATATTTTCTCGAGTACAGATAATCAGTTGATGTAACAAATTATGTTGATTAACTTCTTGATATTGAACCATGTGTGCATTCCTGGAAAAAAACTACTTGCTAATAGTGAATTTCCTTTTTATATATTTTGATATATTGCTGAATTCTATGTGTAGATATTTAGAAATTACGCCCCTCTACGTATATGTGAAAATGGTATGTATTTTTCTTTTTGATACTATGTCAAGTTTTGCTATTTAAGTTACCATGACTTTATATAATAAATTGGGGTGCTGTTCACCTTTGTCTTTTCCGTGGAATAACTTATGTAACTGAAATTATGTGTTATCTAAAGTTCAAATAAAGCTTATTCATGAAGCCATCTGATTCTGATACCTTTTTGGAAGGTAAATCTTTTAATTGCTTTCCTAATTTCTTATGTGACTGGTCAATTGGGTTTTCTACTTCTTTTTCAGTCAATTTTGGTAATTTACATTTTGCTAGGAAATCCTCCATTTCCTCTACATTTTCAAATGTGCTTCCAAAGAATTGTATGTAGCATTCTCTAATCATTGTTTTAATCTCATCCAGTACGTGATAATGTCTCCTTTTCAGTACTAATCTTGTAATTTTTTCTTTCTCTATTTTTCTTAAGTAGATTTTTAGGCACTTTTCTTTTTCATTTATCTTTCCAGAGAATTCTCTCTTTCTTTTGGTTTATTTCATGTCCTTTTTCTAATGTCTTAAGTTCCTTTAATTTTTTTTTTTTTTTTTAAGATTTTATGTTTTTCTTTTTTCTCCCAAAACCCCCTGGTACACAGTTGTGAGTCTTTTTAGTTGTGGCATGTGGGACACCGCCCCAGCATGGCTTGATGAGTGGCGCCATGTCCTCGCCCAGGCTTCAAAGTGGCGAAACCCCAGGCCGCCGAAGCAGAGTGCATGAACCCAACCACTCGGCCACTGGGCGGGTCCTCCTTTAGTTTTTAAATTGAGATATACCGTACCATAAAATTCACACTTTTAAGGTGTACAATTCAGTGATTTTTAGCACAATCACAAAGTTGTGCAACCATTAAGTTCCTTTAGTTTCATCTCTCTTTTTTAGAAATGAATAAGATAACACATTCTCCTTTGACTACAGCTTTAATTTCGTCTTGAAGGTTTTGGTATGGATTCTCTCCTTTTCATTGCTTTCTAGTCATTTTGTCATGTGTTTTGATTTGCCATTTGACTCAAGGATTATTTACTAGGAGATGCCTTAATTTTTAACTTAAAATTGTTTATCTTTACATCTTTCTATATTCTCCAAATTCTTTAAAATGAGTATGTGCTACCTTTACGACTAAGGCAAAATTTTTTTTAAAGTTACATTTAAATCTTTTATCCATCTAAACATTTCTTTTGAGAAAGGAATGCAATAGGACTCCACCCCACTCCCAAATATAAGTAGTTGTTCCAACAGTACTTACTAAATGGTCCGTACTTCCCCGTGAACTTACTATATTTGTTGTAAACTGAATCTCCTTATGTGTTTGGGGTTTTTTCTGAACTCCATTCTGTTCCACTGATGTCTCTATACTTTCTTTCCAGTATCAATAGGAAAAGCTTGGTAACTTTAAAATATGTTTTAATATCTGGTAGTGTTAGTCTCCCCTCATTTCTTTGTTCACAATTTTCTTGGTCATTCTCATGTTTAATTTTTCATAAGGACTTTGGTGCCTTTTATTATGTTCTGAAGAAAAGAAAAACCCTATTCGTATTTTAACTGGAACTGAATTACATTTGTACATTATTTTAAAGAATTGACATCTACAAAATATTTGTTGCTGTTAGTGCCACCAAGTTGGCTGACTCCTAGTGATCCCGTGCACAGTAGAGCAGAACCCTGCCCCATATTTTTGCGCCATCCTCTCACCTTCTGACGCTAAATCAGACAACGTTCCACTGCTTTCATAGGGTTTTTATGGCAAATTTTTCCGGAAGTGGGTGGCCAGGTCCTTCTTCCTAGTCTGTGGAAGCTCTAGTGAAACCTGTCCACCATGGGTGACCCTGCTGGTATTAGAAATACTGGTGGCATAGCTTTCAGCATCACAGCAGCACGCAGCTGCCACAGTATGACAACCGACAGACAGGTGGTGTGGTTCCTGGGCCACGGTGCTCACCACCAAATCTTAACCACTAGATCACCAGGGCTAACCTCTAAAATACTGAGTGATCCTAATTAGGAGGAAAGTATATCTTTTCATTTGCCTAAGTAATTTTATGTACCTTTGCGGAGTTTGAAATGTTTCTTTGTATAGGTCCCATCTCTTCTTAAGTTTAAACCTAGATACTATATTTTGGTTATTATTATAAATTAAAATAGTTTTTTGATTACATATTCCAAACAATTATAATTTGATATAGTAAAGCTATTAATTTTTTAATAGCTTAATTCTCTTTGGGTTTCCAGATAATCATCATCATTAGCAAATAATTATAATTTTGCCTTCTCCTTTCCAGTATTTCATATTTTATTTTGTCTAAGTGCATTGGCTAATAACTCTGGAACAATGTTACATAAATGTGGTGACACTGGGCATTTGGGGCTATTTCTAATGCTGTACCATTAAGTATAGTAAAATTACAAAAGTGATACATGTTCACTTAGCTAGTTTAGTACATAACCTTGCAGAGGCTTTATTCTTTTCTTTTTAATGCCTAGAACACACTTGCCATTCAATGCGTTGACTTTCCATGAATGCTATGTTAATACTTACATACACACACACAGACAGATACATAAATATTACAGGATACGCTAAATGGAAAGAAAAGACACTGATAAACATGTTCTGAGCATCAACTGTGAGCAGGGTAATGGCCTAAACACTCCCATGAGCAGCTCTTTTGGCATGTAGATCCTACTCCGCGTTGATTTTGACAGCATCCAATGATGGAAAGAGCACGGTGGTGAGTGTGAAGACCCGGGTTCTAATCCTGTGTTAGTCACTGATTTAATGACCTTGGGAGGTTCTTAAGCAACAGCTTCCACTCACCCAGAAGGAGAGATAATTTTGAGTCAAGAGGAGGCAGTCTCAGAATTAATTTGGGGAAAGACCTCCGGTCCCCTCTTGCCCTCCCTTCCCCCTATACTACGGGAGAACTTGTAGCTGATATCCAGTAGAAGGACCATGGAAAACGGCAGTGGAACAAAGCCTTCTTTGACAGAATGGATGTTATGACACTACCAGAAATCAAAACAAAACAAAACAACACAGGCTCCTTGACATCCACTGCATCTCCTCTGTGAAACACCTGAGCATCTTATGACTGAAATGTAGATTCTAGACTCCATGTCTGCAGAGCAACATTTTATAAATCCAAATCCTCACATGCACCCCAGTAAGTTCTCTTAGGCTCCCAAGCACCGCTAGGGGTAACTAAACTTTTATTCTCCACCTCTAAGTCCTGGACGGATCACCTAGAACACAGACATGGTATCTAAGACCTGCCACAGGGATCTAGGCCTCCTTACTCTCTTTGGGGTACATTCAAGGCTTACAGGCCACAAGAGACACCTTCTTATGGAGAGTGACGTCAGTAGAGGAGGGGGGGTGGCAACCCAAAGGTCAAAAAGGTCAGGAGAGTTTTCCTCGCGGAGCCGCATCACCCAGGAGGAGACCCGGGCCTGCTCAGGGGCGGGGAGGAGGCTGGACCCCGGGATGTTGAGTGGCCGCCCTCCCAGCCAATCGGCAGGCCGCCCCGCTGCGGGGGGGAGGTCCCGCCCCTCCCAGCGCGGTACTCACTTTTCCCACTTCGGCGTTGCCCATGGAGATGACTTTGATGCGCAGGGACTTGCCAGGCTCCTTCCGCTTCGGCATGTTGGCCTCCATTGCCCTCGCTCTCTCGGGGCCACCCGCCTCGGTCTCTCCTTGTTCACCGCGCTGGCCTGTCCCTCAGGGCTCCTCGTCCAATGGCGGGACCGCTGCTATCGTCACCGCCCCGGCCCCGCGGCTCGCCATCCCCGCCGCTGCTTAGCAGCGGGCGCGGGCGGTTGGGAGCGCAGGGAACTGGGGGAGGGAGAAGAGAGTCTCGCGATGGTAGAGAGGGGCGGCGTGACGTCATCGCCAGGCCCTGGAGACGGGGCTGTGGTTACCTGTTCCCTGGGGTCGCACCACCGAGCCGGGCTAGGTCCCTCGGCGGGATGGGGTCGCCCGGGGGTGGCTGGGTTTACTCTCGGTGCAGAGCGCGGCTTTGGGTTCGGGGCGCCAGGTCATAGGCGTTTGTTGAGTTTGCAGCCCAGGGGGTAGAAACCTGTTGGCTGTTAGAACAGGTAGAAATCCTCCGGCTGGGAGTCTCCGGAATTACGGGTCAGTTCAAGGCCCGGCCGCGCTGAAATGTCAAAGTCGGCCACGGCTCTTTTGGGGGTGTTCTTTCTGCATTGTTCAGTCCCCGTGGACCCGTCCTTCCCCCCCCCCCCCCCCCCCCAATATTCTGTTTCCCGTGCTCGTGCTTCCTGAGAGGCAGCGTCAGGAGCCAGGGCAGTGGGAAGTCAGGGCCCCGGTCCTGAAGAGGGGCCTTAGGCAGGATCTGAATCCCGTTCCTACCCTTTAGAAAAATAGGTGGTCCGTTTGAAGTCAAGGCAGGTTTTAGTTTAGGCCTTGCGCTTCTGTTCGTAGTTGTAATAGTAGGAGGAAAGCTCAGACTGTTTGTTTCTTACACTTCCAGCTTTATTGGGTTGTGTGTGACGGCCAGGAGCTGCGCGCGCCTTCATTTTCCTCCTCTCCCTGCTGCTCACATCCGCACCTAGTCCCATCTTCTGCTCTCACCTTTCCTTTAGCCGATAGCGTGACAGTAGAATAGTAAAGGATTCTAAGATAACCACTTTTCTCCAGGGGAGAAGAAAAGCGTCTGCTTGAATTAAAATCAGTCTGAGAGGAAGAGTAATTTTTTATGTGTGTGTGAGGAAGATGGGCCCTGAACTAAAGTCTGTTAGTTCAATCTTCCTCTTTTTTTTTTTTCTCCCCAAAGCCGTGTACAGAGTTGTATATCCTAGTTGTAAGTCATTCTAGTTCTCTGTGGGGTGCTGCCACAGCATGGCATGATGAGCGGTGTATAGGTCCGCGCCCAGGATCCGAACCACGGACCTCCTTCCACCGAAGGGGAGTGTGCGATCTTAACCGCTCAGCCAGAGGCCAGCCCCTGAAACTGTAACTTTTTGAGTCAGTATCTTCAGCTGTAGAAGATGAATAGAACTTGACAAAGGATTGTTTAATGCCCTGAAAAAGAATGGCTGCCTATTTCCCTGTAAATGACAACGGCAAAGGTGGCATAGCTTCTGTTCTCACACAGCTTTAAACGCCTTAAATACATTACAGGAAGACAGTGAATAAAGGCTCAAATTTTCGTAATTATTTAAAGTGAGACTTTCAAACATTTTAATTTTAAAATTTAATTTTAAAACATTAACTACTTTTTTTAAAAAAAGCTTGTTCTGGATTTGTTCATAATCAAGTAAAGTAACTTGTTCAATGGAGCTTCTAAAGTTCTTTACAAATATGAAATGTAAGTCCTGGTTAGAATTTTGATAGTTTAAAGTGTACAAGAATACTGATTCTCCAGATGCTGATCTCAGTATGATTTAATAAATTAAATCAATAAATATCTATTTCTTTGATAGTTCACCTTTGACCCTCAAATAGAACTGGTATTGTGGAAGAAGAATTGCAAAATGTCAAGTCTTCCACTGTTAAAGACTGACTGTGTATGATACTACTGAGCATAAGAGCAGTAAAACATGGGGAAGTTTAAAATTTATTACCGTTTTTTTCATATTGATGTTTTCGAGGTTTGAATATGTGTAACCATATTTTCTACTGGGTTTGTTAAATTAGTTTGGAGTTGAAAAAGCAAGACAGTTAGCTTTCTTTCCCAGTCTGAGATAAAAAGAAGAAAGAGAAGCATGAATTAGCTGTGTATGGAAGGACACTGGAAGATATGGTATGGAGCTGAGAAACATGAGGTCTGGAGTCAGCCCTGTTATCCTTTGTGTTGGCATGACAGGGGCATGTGGTGGTGGTAAGGGTTGCAGGAAATAATGCACTTGAAGTACATGGTGACCTCCCCCAATAAACATTAGCCATATGCTTTCATTTACTCATGTTTTTTATTTTTATGTATTAAGAAAGACTCTACATATTTATTTATTTTGGTGAGGAAGATTGGCCCCAAGCTAACATCTGTTGCCAATCTTCCTCTTTTTGCTTGAGAAAGATTGTTGCTGAGCTAATGTCTGTGCCAAGCTTCCTGTATTTCGTATGTGGGGCACTGGCACAGCATGGCTTGATGAGTGGTATGTAGGCCAGCTCCCAGGATCCGAACCCACAAACCCCAGGCTGCTGAAGCGGAGCATGCGAACTTAACCACTATGCTACCAGGCCAGCCCCTACATAGTTATTTTTAAAGTAAATTATGAAATATGCTAGACATACTTAAAGGTCTAAAGAATAATGTATGACTGTCTGTATATCCACCACCTACCTTAAGGAAAAATACGTCGCTGATGCTGTGTGTGCTCTTCCCCAGTACGTCCCTCCTTCTGCTCTACAAGCGTTGCAGCTACCTGAATTGGTGCTTTTAATTTCCAGTCATTTAAAAGTTGTTTTACTACATATGTATATACACCTTAAAATGTAGTATTTTGTATTGCATCTTTTGGAAATCTTTATTTTGAAATAATTTCACTCAGAAACATTTCAAGAAGAGCAGAAAAAAATCTTGTAGACCCTTTATCCAGATTCATCAGTTGTTAACATTTTGCCTCATTTGCTGTATCAATTCTGCTCAATATCTATATGTACACATGCTTTTCTAAATCATTTGAGAGTAATTTGCAGACATATTTCTTTATCCATAAATGCTTCAATGTGTGTTTCCTAAGAAAAAGGACTTTCTCTTACGTAGCAACAATATACTTAGCAAAATCAGGAAATGGAACATTGATACAACACTATTATCTAATCCTGTGGTGCTCAACCTGTGCACCGAGGTGCCCCACAGCCTCACAGTGAATTCACAACGGGATATCTGTGAGATATTTTACATTCTAAATTTTCAAGGCAAACAAAATCAAATCTGTGCAAAACTACTCACTCAAGGTGCTTTACAACTTCAACAATAGATGGCGCCATATTCCTTTGATCTGTTATATATTTGGGAAGATGGGTTTTTCTGTGGTTGTGATGAAAAGCAAGTACAGTGCAAAAATCAGTGTGGAACAGGAAATGAAGATGGTCTTGTCCAATCTGACTCCAAGATTTGTGCAGTTGTGCAGTGCCCAACAGGTGCACAAATCCATTAGTAAGCAATTGTGGTTATTTAAGAATGAAATAAAAAATATTGTTTTTCTTTCAGTTTACATGTATTCGTTTTTCAAATGGCAAGTAAATTGTTAGGGCATAAATACTTAATAAGTTGTTTGGACCTACATATTTCTTTTGGTCATGGAACACCATGAAAAAATTATTGAGACGCTAAGAGCTCCTTGAACCAAGAACATTTGGGAAACTTTGATCTAAAGCACAGTTCACGTTCAAATTTCCCCATTTGTCCCAGTAATATCCTTTATAGCTATGTCATCCCCCCAACCCTCCCACCCCCAGATCTGGAGTCTAATCCAGCATTATTTAGTTGTTGGATATCTTTAGTCTACTTTTATCTGGAGTGGTTCTTCAGCTTTTCTTTATATCTTCCAAAATGACAGTTATTTTTAGGATATCTCTCAATTTGTGTTTGACGTATTCTTCTGATTAGATTCAGTTATATTTGGCTGAACTACCACAGGAAAGACATTATCTCATTTTAAGAGCATCACATCAGAAGATTTGTGATGCCAATTTGTTCCGTTTATTAAGATGTTCACTTTAGTTGGTTAAAGTGTAAGGTATTGTTCACAGGTTAATCCACAGTAAAGTGACTTTTTCCTTTTGTAATAAGTAATTTGAAAGAGAATACTTTGAGGTTATATAGAAATCCTTTTTTCATTGATTTTTCATCCACAAATTTTTAGAAGCCAATGATGATTCATGGCTGAAGAGATTATTACTATGATGGATGCAAAATATTGATTTTCTAACTCCGTCATTTCTCCTGCATTTATTACTTGGTAGTCTACCATAAGGGAGAGCTTTCCTTTCTTATTCATTCATTTACTAACTCATATCAGGATGCACTCATATATGCTTGTTTTACCCTAAGAATATTCTATTATTACTATTATTTATTTTTATGCTCAAGCTGGCTGTTATGTCTTTTTGATATGTCTCCATCATTTTTTGAGCACTTCCTTGCTTTTTGACACAAAAACAAGCCCTGGTGATGTAGGTCCTTTTAGTGGGGAATGGCATTTAGAAACCAAGATCTGGATGTTAGGTGTGCTCATTGATACTAGGTGTCTTTGCTTTTGACCCTTTCAGTTGACTGAGCCAAAATAGTACATATACATACATACATGCATCTAAATCCATATTTTGAAACATAGTTCATACTGATATCCACAATTTTAGCACAACAGGATGTGTTCTAGTCTTCCCCCTTTCCATATTTATAACTCCCTCCTGCAACAGTGAGAAACTGGCTCCCATTATCCTCAGTACATTTACTCATTTGCTCGATCTTACAATACACGGGAAGTAGTTTCAGAATTACTAACCTATACCATTTCAAAAAACAGAAACACTTTGAACTTGAGTTCAGTATTTGTTTATAGCTATTTTTGTCTTAAACTGACAGATACAGTTTGTCATATAGTTTCATATAGTCTAAGTATTGCGCTCAAAAGTTAATCGAGTTAATCCTTTTTTCCTCTCTTTGGGGTTGTTATGGTTTTCATCTGAAATACAATTAAGTTTATTTGTTTCTGTTTGTACTTTATTTTAGTTTTTTTCCCCTTCATTGCTGTTGACTTCATTGATTAATGTAAAACATTAATGTAGTTTCAAAAGTAAGATTATACAAACCGGGTTTTTCAGCGGAGTGTCACTTTCACCCTCATCCCAATCCTCTTCACCTCTTCCCACCTACCTCTCA